AGAAAATGTAAAAAACAAAAAAAACTAAATAAGATGAAAGGTATTTTTGTAAACAAACAACTTATTCTTAGAAATTATGTCATGAATATAAGTTTGAATATGACAAATCAAACAAGCAACAAAAATTAATCTCAACATAATTAATCTCAGTATAACTTATCCCAGCATAACTAATCCTAGTATAACTTGTATTCAAACCAAACGACCCCTAAAAGTATATATGCTAGGATAAAAGAGTAGGTAAAAATCTTGTCTAAGTTAGTACTCCCTCTGTCCCTAATTACTTATCAACTTTTGAATTGACACACCTATTAAGAAAACAATAATTGACATAGTGACTTTTACCATTTTACCCTTATTAATTATGAAGTGGATGAATTAAAAACTTAAGATTTTCAAAAAGTTCTACATTTTTCAAAGTAATTAATTGAGGGTATAATAGGTAAAAGAAATTATTCTTTCTTGATTTGTCAAAATGAACAAATAATTAAGGACAACTAAAAAAAAATATAGACAAATAATTAGGAGCAGAGGGAGTAACTAGTAAGCTTGGCAAAAAGAATAATACTAGGAGATGCCTAAAAGTGTTGTATAGATTCTCTAGTGATTTTGGTACTTGACAACTATGTTTGCCTCTACCTACAATGCCTAAAGAATATGTTTTCCACTGTTCCTTTTGACTAACTTTGCTATAGTGTAAAGTGAAATTGATTTGTATATAAAAGAGGATAACTACAAGGTCGCAGGTTCAAAAGGGATAATTACAATAGAGAGTAATTGATTTCAAGTAAACATATTATTTAATACAAGTAAACAAACATGAAATACAGTAATCTTATGATTTATCCCAATATTATCATTATATCCCAAAATTATTACTATCTTTTATCTTTCCAACCAAATGACCTCTAAGTGTGTGGCTTATTTTCGACTCATAAACTTAGATGATAAAAAATTGTTGTACCCAAAAATGTAAGATTTAGGACTCCAAACAATTAGGAAAATTATTGGAAGTCACAGGCTCACAGCAGTCGATACAAGTAAATGGGGATCAAAAAAGAAAACTCTAATTCTACCACGACAATAATATATTCCGTGAAATCCCTACTAGGTGTCTTGCAAGGATAGAGAGTACACAAACCTCGTGTAAAATTCTACCAAGACAACAAAGGAAAATCCCATATCAATAGGAACTGAAGGGGTATCTGATCAATTTATGCTAGTGAATGTGAAGCAGAGTACAAATTAAGCGATTGTAATCCCAGCACAAAGCATCAGATTCACAAACAAAAAAAAAGAATTAAAAAACTGACAGTAATACTTCTAAATTTTGCCAAGAAGAAAAAAATCCTAACCAATTAGTAAGGGGTTAAGCACTGGATGCAGAGGTTTATCGACCGGTTCCTTTTGCTGTATTTTTTGCATATATATTCAGCTTTCAGGGAACAGATCGATGAACCGCTGCCTCCAGTGTCTTCAACCAACTAAACAAATACAGAGTGCGTCAAAATACTCAAACGATATCCAGAGGCGAATGCATAGATTTATCTGAATCCAGTATTTTCAATACCGCCTATAAATCTATACATATAAAATTCAAACATATATCATCACAGATCTGATTTCCACAAATGCAAAATGTAATCTGCCGGAAATTGCACAGAAATCATAAACACAGATCTCGACAAACTAATAAAAAAGAAGTTTGAAGATATGTAATATAGTACGAGTAAATAAAATTAGATAAAGTAAAATCTAACAAAAAAATTCTGAAAGATGATATGAGAGAGGACATAATAGATGAAGTCTGACCTCTCCGTTTGATACTGTGTATTCTTGAGAGAGCCGCAGTCGTCTAAATATAGACAAACCTAAGGGGACTTTAGGTTTGCATTATTAATTTACTTATTTAGCCTTCAATACCAAAAGATCATTTTAGGATAGACTGACCGGGATAAAATCATGATATGAAATCATATAGAAAAAAAAAATTAGGTTACATTACTGATTTACTTATGTAGCTCTCAATACCAAAAGGTAATTTTAGGATAGTTTTATCCAAATAAAATCATGTTATGAAATCATGTTATGACAAACATGCGGGGACTTCGGGTTACATTACTAATTTTCTTATTTAGCACTCAATACCAAAAGGTAATTTTAGGATAGTTTGACCGAGATAAAATCATGATATGAAATCATATAGACGAACATGCGGGTTGCGGCGACTTTAGGTTACATTCATAATTTACTTATTTAGCCCTCAATACCAAAAGATAATTTTAGGATAGTTTGACCGAGATAAAATCATATAGACAAACCTGCGGCAACTTTAGGTTACATGACTAATTTATTTATTTAGCTCTTAATACCAAAAGGCAATTTTAGGATAGTTTGACCGAGATGAAATGAGATTTAATGATTTAGCTCTCAATACCAAAAGGTAATTTTAGGATAGTTTGATTGAACGAAATCATACGAGATGAAATTAAAGTTTTGTTGGGACATATAATTTGAATTTTTGAAGTATATGTTTTGTTCATAAACATAAAATCCTCATAAGAAAATTATTGTGTGCCTAATTCTTTATATAATTTTACCAAATAAGCAAAAATTTATGACAAAAGTATAATACACTATAAGAAAGTTATTCTATACAATATTTATTGATTGAACTTTAGTTCAATACAAAAAAAAAAGAACATGAGTTAGAGTGTTCTATGTTTGTTAATGTGTTGTCAATGTTATTTGTAACTATATCATCATATTCATATTACGTGAATATTTCATTGTAGGTCATGTATAGAGGTTGGAAATGTTATGTTATTCACAGGATTTGTATGGAAGAGTAACCAGGTCAAACGACATTCTGCTGGAATTTTATAACAATGCAAATAGAATAAAGATATATGGTATAAGTACTCAGACAGTGATCGAAATCTCAAATATATATTTTAATTAAATTAAGGTCTTATTACCTTCTCAAACTTATTTTTTTGTAATTTTGTACACATTTTTGACTTATGTGGCATTCAAAAATCTCTCATGCGCCTCAACTATGTGGAGTCACAGAGTGTGCCACGTAAGACAAAAAGTGGACAAAATAAAAAATGAGTTCGAGGAGGTAATAGGACCTTAGTTTAGTTAATATGTGTCTCTGAATTTCGGTCATAGTCTAGGAGGATACTTGTGTCTTATCCCTAGAATAATAAATATGAAGTGATTACTGGATTGTTTAATGTCGTTTTGAAGACGGCGAATGTCTTAAGAATGAAGGTGGAGTACCATGAACAATTATACAAGAACAAATGAGCTACTAAGCCAAATATGAACGTTTGAGAGAGGGTAATTGAGATGAGAGTGAAAAGGAGCATGGGTATTTTTTGAGAATCAGTTTTGATTCATGCTACAGTGCTTAGTTGCGTAAGTCATTCATCTTGTGAGGAGACTGGTGAAGCAGTATAAGGAGAATAAGAACTTACACATATTTTTATCAACTTAGAAAAGGCTTATGATAAAGTGTTAAGAAAGATTTTACAAATTTGGAGGCTAAATGTGTATGTGTAGCGTATATAACGATAATAAAAATCATGAACAATGTATCTAAGATCAGGATAATAATGGTGAGGTGACTTAGAGCCCTTTTCGATCTGCGACAGGGTTGTATCAAGAATTGTAGGCGTTTTCTTTGAATCTCGCTATGCCATCTTAAGGTGATTGCTAAATGGACGAATTTTATCAACATTTGATCGAATTGCTGAATATTTTTTTTGGGTGTTAATTATCATAAAACATTATATCATTAAGTTCAAGAGTATGAGATAAACAGACTTTATCCACTAACATCTGCCGCAAGGTTAAACCACTGTCTCTCAAGTCCCCGACTAATTCTGTCATATGGCCAAAAATCAACAATAACCCCTTTTGAACATAACTAGAAACTTTCATTGTACTTTCTCTTCAACTATGGGCCTATTTTTATTTTCCTTGGTAATATATACATTGACTCGATAATTTTTTTTAAAAAGTGCATTATTGTATGCTATTTATAGATGGCATAGTTCTGATTGATGCTCAAAGTCTTATTCGGTCTTTTCCTCAAAGACGGATACAATTGAATTAGCTTTGGACTACGAGAGAGCTACATAGCAGGGATGAAGGGTTTGTGAGGAAGAATCAATGGCCAATGGTTCTACAATTGCAACAGCCCGCCTGCCCAAAGACTTATTGGTAGCTCTTTGGTTCTTTATTAGTAGAGTGATTCGCGTCGTTTCAGTCATCGTGGTCGACAACGAGCCATGCTTCCTTGAAATTTGTCAGAACTGTCATCACCAGAGACTCATGACATAGTTAATATTAAGCTGAAGGTTTGTCTCAAACCTTGGAGTCTAATGGATTCAAGTTAAGTAGGACCACGACAAAAATAGTTAGAGTATAAATTCAATGATGTAACACATAAAGTTGGTGTGGGTGTGGGACTCGATACATATGCCGTCCAAAAGAAAGATAATTTCAAAATCTTGGGTCTACTATCCAAGGGAATAAAGAAATTGACGAGGATGTGTCACACTACATTAGTGAATAACAGATGAAATTAAGGGTTGTATTACGAGTCTTGTGTGTGATAAGAAGGTGTCAACAAAACTTAAAGTTAACTTTTATTGAATGATGGTTAGACCAATTATATCGTATGTGTAAAGTATTGACCACTCAAAAACTCTTATCCCCAAAAACTGAGAAGCTATGGAAATAAAAATACTGAGATAAATGTGTAAATAATTTGCATACACCTATTCTTTTCGGACCTTCTTTGTGCCTTTGTGGGATTATAATTGATATATTGTTATTCTAAGCTAATTCAAATAAATAAAAAATTGTATAATTAACTTATTTTTAATTTATTTGAAATTAGTCTTTGACAAGTTTTTGAAATTCGTGCACAATCCCCCCTCCACGGTTGGCCTCAATTAACAGATCCATTAGAATCGGTAATCTCCCCTCCACTCCTTTCGCTTCCATTTTCAATACACCAAAATTACATCATCCCCTACCAATTCTAGGACTATATATTATATTATTATTTCATGTCTTCTCACACATTCCCACACCTTCACTACTTCTACGTGCAACCCACCCCTCGATTACCATTCACAACCCCTTGCATCGTGAGCCACACGTCATCACTCGCGCGTCGAGATCCCTTTGTTCAACGCGCTTTGCAGAAAATTTGCCCTAGACCACTTCCCTTCTCTATATCCACCATGGACAACCACCGTCAGCCACTCCGATCACGGCTGCATTGCCATTAATTTTTTGTAGTGCTCTAATTCCGATCTCGTTTCTTCAATCTGTCAGATTCTCGATTTTCTCTTCGTAAGGTAAGTTTAATTTTGTTTATTTGATCTTCGCATCTGTAGATCTTTTTCCTTTTTGTTTTTTGAAGGATTTTGTTAGTTTTGATTTTTTTGAAGCTGTAGATCTCTGCTTTTTTTCGTTTTATATGCTAATATGAGTTTGTGATTGTTGAATTTGGATTCTGGATTTTTTATTTGTTTTTTTGAAGGGCTAAAAAATGGAACCTATGGATATCGTTGGTAAAACAAAGGAAGACGCTTCACTTCCAAAAGGTTTCTTCTTATCTTCCTTCGTTTTACTTTATTCGATGTTTGTTGCAGTTCGTGTACAGATTAATTTGTAGTTTTCTCTGGTTGCAATTTTTTTTGTTCCTCTTGTTCCTCCTTTCATGTTTGGTTGACCTAACTGCGATATTTTTGAGTGGATGAACACACAGTGAGTGATTGAAGTAATGAAAGTATTAATTTGTAGCCAGCAAATATATATATATTTGATTACTGTTACTTGGATTGCTTTGGACCAAATTGCACGAGTTTCTCATGTTATTTGGTGAGGAAAGTTTTATAATAGCTTAACTTATGACTGTCCTGTCTAAAATATTGGAGCTTTTGTGAGATATTAGCTAGGACAAGGTGTGTTAATCACCATCCTGACGTGGCTTCATCTGCAGGGTACAGTTTGGGTTTTTTGATCCTTTTAGCTTGTTGGTTATCCAAACGACAACGTAGTTGGCTGCGTGGTCAGCAAAAGATGTAGCATTTTGGTGTCAGTGTTGAGTTTTAAGTTGAAAATAGGGTTGTGCCCAACCTCTTAAATTCTAAAATCAGTTCCTACTAGCTAATAGCTTGTTTCTTTGTGCTGTCTTAAGGACTGCTAGTTGGCTGGGTGGTCAGGAAAAGATTTAGCATTTTAGTCTCAGTGTTGAGTTTTATGTTGAAAATAGGATTGTGCCCAATGTCTTAAATTCTTAAATCAGTTCCTGCTAGCTAATACCTTGATTCTTTGTGCTTTCTAATCTAAAGCTCTTTGTTTTGGTTCTACCTCGACATGGTAAGTAGGATGTTTATGTGAAGTTTCTTAAGTTCCTGTTGCATTATGTGTCGATAGCCAGAGTAAAGTCAATCTTTCTCATAAGATGAGTAATGAATAAAGACAGCTATCATTGTGCTACTTTTGTTAAAATATCGTTGACATTGTGTTAAAATGATTCACTTGTGAATAATGATATTGAAACTTTGGCTACCTCATTTAATCTTTGCAAATTTGATATTAATGACTTAGTTTCGTTAATGGCTTACTTTTCCTTGGCTAGACTAACCATTGTATCTCTTCTCAGCAACTATGACAAAAATTATCAAAGAAATGTTGCCCCCAGATGTTCGTGTTGCCCGAGATACTCAAGATCTTTTGATTGAATGTTGTGTAGGTGAGTTGATTTTAATTTGCTTAGTTTAATTCTTTATGTTCAGCTTAGTTATCACGACGATGATTGTTGTTTACTACCGTTTGTTAATGACCACAACTCTGCTTCTCTCTGATTTTAATGGGAACTTTTATCAAGCTGATTTTTTTTCGTAATGATGATGTCCGGGCCAATTTGCAAATGGGAAGAAATCACCTAGTATTAGTTGCTCCGCTGGGATTTGAACTTGGGACCTCATGATTTTGTTCTCACTTTATTTATCACTAGGCCACACTTGTGAGTTATGGACCAGTTGATTTTAATGGGAATATGTTGGTGTATAATCTGTTTCACATGCGAAGTTTATGGATTGAAGGGGAAGTGTGCCTTAAAGGCCTCTTACTCCTCAAATTCCAGTCTGACCAGACATAACAAGAAGAGTATGATAGAAGTGCATGGTAGTGACTACTGAGCACGCTTTAAGACATCAAGTAGGTCACCGTGGACACTTTTAAAGGAATTTGAAGTCCTAAGTTTTGACATCATGTGTTTTATTCTAAAATTATACATACAACTCAAACAGATCAATGATGGAATCCAGGCAGAGGCAAAAAGGATAGGTGATTCTCCCAATTGTCATGAGTTGTGGTTCAAAATGTACCTGGAGCTTGCAGTAGTGTAAGGGTGCAAGTACCTGGTGAAATATTTTTGTGGCTGAACTGCTGTTTCCATAGATGTTCTGGCTGGTGATGTGTCCTTTGTTATTTGAACATGGTTTGGTTAAACTATTTCCCCCCTGTTCTGTCTATGGATGATTGGATATCACCTTTTAATTATATTACATAGATAATAAATCTGCTTCTATTAGTACTTGCATCAACTTCAGATTATTATTTTATTTTATAAAGTCGTTTCCCTCTTTCTCATTAAGCTAAGTATGTGTGACTTTTTCTTTGTTGTGCAGAGTTCATTAATCTTATCTCATCGGAATCGAATGAAGTTTGTAATAGAGAAGAGAAACGAACAATCGCACCCGAACATGTACTCAAGGCTTTACAGGTGCTTGTCCTGACCCTATAGTTCTGCTTCTATAGTTCTATGTGTATCTGCTTCAAGTTAGTTTTGTTTTCCAATTCTCTGCTGTCACTTTTTACTGTATGATTTATCAGTTTACTCCAAGACGAGAAAGGTCAGTTCACACCTAGTTTTCCTCTAAGCTAAAGTTATGTGAATAAGAATGGCAAACTATTTGCTTCTTGACTTTGGAGTCTGTTTCTTATGCCCTAGAAGTGATATCAGGTGTTATCAATGAGACAATGAACAATGCAAATACTATTCATGATTTTAACTGATGTCTGCTTTATGTATGAATCAAGTTTTCTCTCTGGGTCTCAAGACTATATTCACCACAGAAATTAATGGAACCAGTTTTAATCTAATGGTGAAATAGTTACATTTTATTTTCGTCACTGACCATCCAGAAATCTTTTTTTTGTACCTTAAAAAATACCAGCGAGGAATTTGAATCATGTAGTGTCCTTTCCATGTTAACCTATTGATATAATTTGCAAGTGAATTTTATGATAACCTTTCGTTGACTTGGGAATGAAAAATAAAGGTAGTAATCAGAATTTGCTTGTATTGTGTTTGCCAGTGGCAGCTTATATTAAGTGATGATCTCTCAGGTTCTTGGTTTTGGGGAATATATTGAAGAAGTATATGCTGCATATGAACAACACAAGCTAGAGACCATGGTAAGTTCTTCTTCCTCTGTTGTCTTACTTTAGTTTTGACATATGGATGACCTTTCTATTGCAGCTTCGCTGTTGAATAGCTGTGTCATCTATTGCGCTACCATCTCTTTCTATTTTTCATAAAGGTTTCATCTTATCAGTTTCTTTTCATTTGTCGTTTTTCCCCCTAGTCAGTCTCTTCTCCCCTTGACCCCACAACATGTAGCTAAACCATCTGAAGTGATTTCAAAGTGCAGTAGTTTTTATCATTTGTATTGCCTCATGATGCATTTTTCTACCATAGGACACTGTGAGAGCTGGAAAGTGCAGTAATGGAGCTGAAATGACTGAAGAAGAAGCATTAGCTGAGCAACAGAGGATGTTTGCTGAGGCGCGTGCAAGGATGAATGGTGGTGTTACAGGTCCCCCCAAGCACCAAGATTCAGAAGCAGAGCAAACCTTGAATAGCTAACTTTACTTTTTCGTTGTTGTGTAGGAAAAAAAGCATCTTTAGTCTGTTTTAGTAGCAGGACCTCTCTTCTATTGTGTACAAAAAGGCTCCTGGCGCATGTGTCCGCTTGTGAGGGCTCTAGTTCAGTTTGTACTCAGATGCATTATGTTCATATATTCTGTAAATTAGTAAGAATTTGCTTCAGATTGTCCCCCTAAAGTTTCTGTCAAAAAGGCGTCTTTGTCACTGGATTGGCCATTAGCTCACGCGTTTGGCCGACTTCTCAGCCTCCACTTTGGATGTGCCTCTTTCGAATTTGCCCTAATAAAAAATTGTCTTTACGCTGAAAGTTGAAACCACTGAGGAAAAAATTGTACTTCCACCCAAATAAAAAATTGTCACAAACTGAACTAGTGGGAAAGAATGATGACTGTGATGGTCTCTATACAATTAGGGTCGTTTGGTATGGGATAAGGATAACAATTTCGAGATAGGATTTGAGATTAACTTTATCTCGTATTTGGTTTGAGGTATTTGAAAGGAGTTTGGACCTGATCTTAGATGTGTATTAAGGTAGAAGGTTAGTAAGCAATGAAGTGTTGTCTTGTTTTTCAAGAGTTAAGGTGTGACGTACTAGCTGTAATACTATAGTTATTGTCCGTGATATTGGACAGTTTGTTGTTTATTGTGTTCCGACTGTTGCATTGTTTTGTTGTTCTTGTTCCTTTCTCATATGATTTGCACTACTTCCCTTATTAGCTTGAATTTGCTACAATTGAGCCAAGGGTCTCTCGGAAACGGCCTCTTTACCTCCACAAGGTAGAGGTGAGGGCTACGTACACTCTACCCTCCCTAAATCCCACTTATGAAATTCTAGTGGATATGTTGATATATTAAAATGATGGGATTACTATCTCATATAGAAGATGGTATATCCTTGGCCACAACTCTAGGGGTCATTATAAGTTGCCTAAATGGGCATTCCTTGTTTACTTGGATCCACCAGATCACCACTATTTGTTGCTAGTGCAATTCCTTTTTTTCCCTTTCCGGAAATTTGAACATAAAAATGGCTCCTCTGCATCCTTTAGGCCCACAATCACTTTTTTCATTTGTGGCTCTGTTGTTTATTGCAAATAATTGTGTCTTCAGTAGAGAATCTAAGTGATTGCTGAGCTAAGCCCAACATCATCACTGGATCTTGTCCTCTGGGTATAATTTGCAGTGTTATCAGAAAAAAAAAACATCATACAGAACGTTATGTTGGGGGATGTTTACTGTAATAAATAGCAATGGTACTTTGATTCTCAGTTACTTTGTGACCACACCACCCTTTATTCGTCTATGTTTTGGTTGAAGACAAGAAATAGACCGTCAAGCCACTCTTTTTCAAGAAAGTGAAATAACACTATACTCTGTTTCACTTAGATTCCTTTAATTCAAAATATTATTCCCTCGTTTATCTTGTGAGAATGTCTCTTTTCACATGACATGTTTAACACCTCAAGATTAAATAATGTTTTGGTACATTCTATATAGCAAGATTCAATAGTTCTCCTTACTTTTTAAAATTTCATTTCAAGTTAAAATCAGATAAACAAATTGAAACGGAAAGAGTATTCAGTTTCTGGGGTAATTCCTTACCTCAAACCTGTCCTTTTCCTGTATGTCACTGCCAATTCCCATGACAGTTTGTGGGGTAGCATATGTTATCTATTTTTTTTTTCAGATTCTTATACCCTGACTATGTACTAGAAGCAAAACAAATTAACAAACCAAAAAAGAAAATAAATCATTTTCCTAGCCAAAACACTTTAAAGGTGCAGCCTACTTTCTCAAATGAAGACAATCATGGCAAAGAGTTCCCAAGATTTGTCCTCTAAGAAACAGTTCAACTGGAGAACTAAAGTCAGCAATGAAGAACAACAACACGAAGTAGTTGAAGAAGATACATCTGTTAAAATCTCATCAAACACAAACAACACGAAAGATGGAAAAACAGTCACTCCTTTGAAACTCCCAGAAGTCTCAATATCCAAATCTCCTTCCTTAAACACTATCCATGAAGAGAAGAGAGACGACGCGAAGTTAATTCAAGAATCAGAAACATCAGCTTCAGCATCTGCATCAACAAGGAGGAAAGCAGTAGTAGCCAAGCTGAAATCAGTACTAACATCACTTGGTAAAAACAGAGGAAATTTCCAACAAGGCTTAGGAACCAAAGTTGTGGGTACACTTTTCGGGCACAAAAACGGGCATGTACATTTTGCATTTCAGAAAGATGCCAATTCACAACCAGCCTTCTTGGTAGAACTCGCGACGCCCATAAGTGGACTAGTCCAAGAAATGTCATCCGGGTTGGTTAGGATTGCATTGGAATGTGATAAGACAGACGAGAAGAAATCAACTAGACTCATAGATGAGCCTTTATGGAGGACTTATTGTAATGGGAAGAAATGTGGTTTTGCAACAACAAGGGAATGTGGTCCAAAAGAATTGCAGATTTTGAAAGCTGTGGAGCCTATCTCTATGGGTGTTGGAGTTTTACCGCGGAACGAAGAAGAGAGTGATGAATGTGATTCAGGGGATGTGATGTACATGAGGGCTAAATTTGAAAGAGTTGTGGGGTCTAGAGATTCAGAGGCATTCTATATGATGAATCCTGATTGTGATGGAGCTGCTGAACTTAGTATTTACTTGCTCCGAGTCTAGTTAAGTAGACTCAGACAAGATTCATATAGCCAACTCCAACTTGTCTGGGATTGAGACGTATGTTTGTTAATATAGTCATGTTATGTCTTTACTTTCTGTTTTCGGTTTTCAGAAGAAAATCCGGTAGGAGATTGGAAACTGGTTGATGTGTTTCTTTAGTTTTTTCTTTCTTGGGTGAAATGGGAGATATATATTACTGATATAACCAAATTATACTTGCAGTTTCACTTGTTCATTGTGTTTGTATTCTTAATTCTAAGTTGATGTCAGTGTTCTTGGCTTCATGAACTTGTATATTCACCAATTTTGAAATTATCTTCCCAAGTTTGTGGATTGTGGCAAGTCCTTCGCAGCACATTCCGATCATTAGTCGAAAATGTTGTTTTTCCACAATCTCTTATGACCACTTACCAATTGGATTGACGAAAATGTCATTTTTCAGTTCTGTTATGTGTAAAAATAAAGATTTTTTGTTAAAAAGACATAAAACTAAAAACAAGTTTGTCAAGTGCTACGAAACTAAATCTCCCCGTGTTTTTTGTCACTACACACCATAAGAATTGATGAATGATTCGAACAACTTGGTAATATTATGACAATATTTGTATCGGTAGAGGTCATTAGTAGATACTTGATGGAATAGTTGAGATCGAAAAACTGCCCTTATAAGAAAAGAAAAAAAAGTGTGGGATGTGTGGGGCAGATCTAGAGGCCAATTTATAGGTTTTACCTGAACCCAATAATTTTTATTTAACCGTGAACTCAGTTATAATTGCAATATTTATTTAAAATTAGTGTCGCCAGTCATAACACATAAACTTCAAATTCTGAATTCGCCTCTTGTTTGATGTGTGTGAAAAAGTGCAATATGGGGCAACGTTTTTCCTTTTGTAGATGTGAACCATGGTCATGTTTAAAACATCCAAATAGATAATGCTTGGTGCTTTTCTTTTTACTTCTTTTCTTGACTGCTTTCCTCTAATTTTGAAAGATTTGCCACCTACTTTTTCCTGGCATCTCATTTAAAGTGTCTAATTGTCACATGTTTTGGTGCGTAATTTGATCTGCGCTTTATCGAAGTAAGCATGAAAATCCCAAGAAAATCAAACTATTATAGCTTAATCACACAAGTCCATTAAAAGCAGCGCCAAGTCGCCAACCAAAGATTTCTTTGGCTGACATACATCTTACTCAGCTTCAGAATTTTTCGGGGCGTTTGATCATGAAATTTTTCCCACTTTTTTCTGTCCCCAGAAAACACATTTGACCCAAAAATTTCAGAATATCGAATTTTCAAGAATTTGAAAAAAATAACGAATACATGTTTTCACCTTTTTTTTTAAGTGTAAAGTATTTACAAAAAGTCAAAAACAACTCAAGTTTGTATTCATAGACAAACATTACTCAACTTCAATTTTCAAATATCATTTTAAGAGGACAAACGTGTAAAGATGAATCTTGGGCCTAGCTAAACCTCAAAAGTTAGCTCATGAGGGGAAAATTGTCCAAGTTGATATAAGGAGACCAAATTTCTACCCCTTTTCCAATATGAGAATTCTTAACACTCCCCACACGCCCCATATCTCGTTAACTGGAGTGTGGACGGGTCTAACATCGGTGAACAAAGAATTGGAATGCGTTGGCTATGATACCATGCAAAGATGTGTCTTGGGTCTTATTCGGCCCCAAAAGCTAACTCATGAGAGGAGGATTGTCCAAGTCCATATAAGATTCTCATCCTTTTTCCGATGTAAAAATTCTTAACAAAACGCCCACTTACTTTCTCTTTTACAAGAAGAAATTATAAATTACAAATTTCTGGATCTACTACTATCTACCGAAGAAACGAAAAATAAGTCACAACAACAACAATTCACCCAATGGCCAGGATAATCTCACAAGTAGCTGGGTTTAGGGAGGGTCGTGCGTACACAGTTTACCCCTATTTGGTGATGGTAAAGAAGGTGTTTTCGATAGATTCTCGGCTCACCAATAATTAATCACACTTGAAAAAAAGGTTAGAAGACCAAAATTTCTTCGATTTGACCATAATTCAAAGAAAAGTTGTTTAGCTATATGCCATCATTCCCTCTCCAATTTCAAGGCTTTCTCAATTCTTTTGTTTATCTTGGCTTTCCCTTTTCTTAAAGCCTAAAAAGAAAGGTTAAAGCTTTAGGGTCCATCTTAGTGTAAGTGGGATTGATTACAACTAAAAACAAATTAAAGAGATTATCATATTAAGATTACATCCATGGTGTTTTTGATGTTTTCTTTTGATCATTCTGTTATCATTACTCAAAGATTCTTTAATTATTTGAGGCAGATAAAGCTTAGCCTTTTTTACTTTATTTATTTAAAGCATGTTTAGAGTGGTGATTTCGAATTTGATTTGGGTGTAATTGGATGAATTAAGTGTTTATAACACATAGGCTCATCAGAAATGCTCTGATTTTCCTGATTCCAGAGAAGTTTCAGTTTCTTCATCTTAAAATCCTAGATTCGCCTTATTAACGCCCAAAAGACAAATTCCATCTCATTCATTCATACTAGAATAGGGAAGAAATAACCAAATTCGATCTCATTGAATGGGACATGAAATTTATTTATAAAAATACGATCCATGGAAGAGACATAAGTATTATTCTTGCGACATAACAAAATGTAAAATGACTAACAACATGTCCTGAATGCCCCAAAGAAGCTATAATATGGTGGGAATTCTGACTCAAATATTTGTTCTTTAAATTGGAGTCTGAATCTTTACTATCTACTGTGCTTTCTTGTTCACATTGTTGTACACCTTCTGGAACATGACTTGTTGACGTTAACTCGAGGGACAAGCAGAGTTTCACATTACCTGAAGCTCGAAAACGACTCCTTAATTTTGTATAAAACCTTTGTGAAAATTCAAGTTTCCCTGTGAAATCATTTCCATCCAAGTATAGAGCATTAATAGTTGATATTTTCTCGAATTTTGACGGAATAATTCCTGAAAGAATGTTATTACTGAGGCTGAGGAATCTCAGTTTCTTCATTTCTGTCATGGAATTTGGTATATTCCCTTTCAATCCCGTGTTTGAAAGATCCAACATTTCCAAGTTTTTCATGTTCCTCCATTGAATTCTTGTAACATAATCGCCTATCGGATTGTCAGATAACACAAGTTCTTCTAAGGAATCCATTTCTTGAAATGTCTCTGGCAAACCATCAGAGAAATTGTTGTGGCTGAGATCAAGTAGTGTTAGACTCTTTAGTCCTCCAATTTCTCGAGGCAATTTTCCATCTAATCGATTGTTGCTCAAGTCGAGCTTTATGAGCGAAGATAAATCACCAATAGTCACAGGTAATGCACCAGATAGAAAATTCCTGCTTGTGTCAAGTATCAAAAGATTTGTCAATCTTCCTAGACTAGTTGGAATAGGACCAATAAAATTGTTGCCTGCCAAAACGAGGCGCTTTAGTTTAGTTAAATTGCCTAAAGCTTCTGGTATTTCTCCTTTCAGTCCATTTTCCAGCAGTACTAAAGATTGAAGATTCTTAAGGTAGCCAAAACTTGTGGGAATTGTCCCAATAAGACCAGAATTTGATCGGAACTCTAACGATTCAAGGCTGTTCGCGAGACTATCCCAATTTGAAATGGGAATTGATTTGTGCTGATCTGAGAGGAAGCAATTTGAGAAGGAAAGTCTTTTTAGATGCTTGAGGTTAAACAAGTGTTCTGTGAACTCTGCAGCTTGGGAGCAACGAAGGGAATTGTCATATAGGTCTCCAATAGTTAAATCCGTTACGTGCCAGAAGCCATTGGAGAAATCACATGATACTCCCTGTGAATTATAGTAAAAATAAGAGTTCACAGAGTTGATTAAAGTGTTAAGACAAGAGTTTATGTTACGGTGTAAAGAATTTTTACACTGTTATGTCAAGTTAACATACAAGAACGATAATTTCAATGCATATAACTACTTGGTTTTAGGAATGAATTACATCAATATAAAGCCTAAATCACTATAAGAAAGTGATAAATATTGCAAATTACCAATAGAATACTAACATATATATTTACTAGTACTACCAGAAAAGGTGTGTTAGAAATTGGAAAGCTCCTAACTAGTGATGTCTCTCTTACACACACTCATATAACACTGTTTGCAAATCCAGAACAGAAAAAGTAAGAATTTGAGAAAGTCTCTTTCACTTTAATTAACAACCATTGAGAGGACAGTTTGATCTATTAAGAGTCCCACATCGGATATGAGATGGGTAATTGATCTCCTATATGGTCTTGAATAATCCTCAACCTATGAGACATTTTTTGTCTTGAGTTAGGCCAAGATCCATTTTTTTTTATCATGTTACCAAAGTTCGTTCATCCGAATTCTTTGTTCACCTATGTTGTGCTTCCACATTATATTGCCCACAAGAGTCGAATATGGGATGGGTAATTGATCTCAAATGTCTTGAACAATACTCATCCTAATTCCTTTGATGTAGTTTATGCGATTGAGTAAGGCCCAAGATCCATTTCTTTATATTAAAATAAAATAAAAAATTTAAGGACATCCATGCATGGCTTTGTGACATTACTGTTTTCTTGATTTTGAACTACAGCAAGAAAAGTCAATAATGGTAAAAAAAACATAAGACTAGAATCAACTAGCAAATTATGAAATCATATACTCTTCGTTTCTTTTTAGTTGTCATGTTTTCTTGTTTTCTTTAGAGTAACTTTGACTAACTTCATCATATTAATATACAAAAAATTACAATTTATAGTATTTTTTATATTATTTTTAAATATATAAATTTTTAGTTTAAAATATCGAATTAATATAATCTAATTTAGCCTTGAAAATTAGCAAAAGAACATCGAGAGCAAAAGATTAGTACCTCAATTGATGTCCAGCCACAAGGATCAGGATAAAGAAATGAACCATTCCACTCATTTCCAACAAAACCTTGAATAGCAGAGTACAATGCCTCTTTCTCATGTTTCTCCATTGGAGATATAGAAGCATCTGCTACACCTCTGTACATAACAATATACACCCCAACAAGAACAAGCTGAAGTAACATAATGTGAAAAATTTTGGTAAACAAGAAACAGAAGAGTGCAAAGCAAATTTTGAAAGAAAAAATTATAATTAATTGTGGACTTTGATGAAAGACATACTGAAAATAAAGAAGAGAGCAGAAAGAAAATTGTTCAATTTGGGAATCTCTGAAACTGGTATAATAAATATAAGGAGAGAATGGAGGCTGGAGCACAGAGGATATGAATTTGTCTTCTGTTTTTTTGCTTTATTTATTGCTACAGCAGTAAAGCAGAGTGAAAAAAAAAAAAAAAGTTGTAGAATAACAACAAAAGACAGAGGATCTACAAAAAGTTGCGGCCAAGTACAATAAGAAATGTGGCTCGAGGTTAAAAAGGCAATAATCACAGTGGTAATTAAGAACTATAATAGCAGAGCTACCAGTCAGTAGTGAAAACGAGATATGAACAAATTAAGGAGCTTTCTTTTAATGGTCGAGAATGTTAGGATCAAATGCTTACCATCATGCCGTGTTCTACATAAAATGATTTCTAATGTTTAACTAACTATAGCAAAAATTATTTTTAGCGATAATAAATGTGTTTATTAATAAATAGTGTTAAAGTCTTTACTAGTATTAGTCAATTGTCATTAGATCTGCTATAGGCTCTAGCTAGTAATTGTCTTTAAGAAATCATATTTAGTGACAATTAAGTTATTATCGTTAATTAATTATCGTTATAATATCAAGCTTATCCGATGACGTTGTAAGCTACTAGCAAGGTTCAAATTAGTGATCTAAGTTACAAGTTTCTCAACCTTTATAGCTTGAACTTAGCCCTAGGGATGAATAAATAAAAGTCATTTAGTATTGCTGCTTCTATGTTGTATGGTTTTATTAAGTGTGCCAACGTTTATAAACAGCATTAATGAGTATAGGTTAGTGTATTTATTTTGTGAAGGTTACAACAATTTGAATTATTTTATGGCAAATAATGTAGTGTTGTGCTTTGAAATGTGGTTATGGTAGTTTTGAAGGGGACCAGCTCATAACGTCATTGGATTTTGGACCATCTTCCATGCAGATCGCAGAGTTGCACTATTGCTTTCTCGTGATGCATGTTAAGGATGATGTGTGTTTTTTTTGTCGTTCGGGAACGTTACGAGTCTTAAACTTTGATTAATTTGAATTTTTGATATCATATTTTTTTATTTTTCTATAACATCATTCTGCTTATAATAGTGATATTCATTATAGAAGCACATTTTGCAAGATTTCATTGTGTATAAAAATAATTAAAATATTTATATGATAAATCACATTATAAGTTTCAAGTTTGAATATTTAAAAGGAAAAAGTATACTTAAATTAGTTATAGAAATATTTTCACGAGGAAAGACTAATAGTGTTTGCCTCTATCTTTTACATTAATACTCTTTTTAGCTATTTAATTTTTTTGTTAAATTGGTTAACAAATACATTCTTTCTTTTTAGTACAGAAAATCGTTACTTTAATTTTTTGGGTATTTTTATTTATAACAGCTAAATAAGATCAAATGTTAATATACATATATAACAACATGTCACTATAACAGTCACGAGATTTCAATATAACGAGATTTGACGGTATATATATGATTTCCTCTTCACTTTTACTACTCTTCCCAGTTTACTTCAACGTTTAAAGTAGCTCTCCTACTCTGATAAATGAAGGGCGATAGTGTATACTGATTAGGTAAAGTATTATTGCATATTAGGTTTGATGAACTAAAAAGCCTGTTACTACATATAATAATAGCACTGGAGAGGTTTGGGGCTATACATATATAATTAGTGTATACGGATTAAATAATAAACAATCTTCAACTTTATTGTTTACGTACAAAGTTTTTCTTCAACTTAGATTACCTAAAAAATTAAATAACCATTCACATTAAATTGAGATCTGTAATCTATAAAAGTAAGATTAATAATAATCTATAAAATAAGATAGAGTTAGAATATATCGTTTAAATCTATCATTAGGTAATAACGAAAAAATTCATTTTGTGTAGCGATCAATTTGGTGTCGCTACCTTAATATTTTCTTCTCATTTTGCTCTACTTATTATTTAATATTATATTTTATCATTTACCCTACTTTTTTAGTTTTCATAATATAGCTCTATCCCGTACCTTACAATTTCTTATAGGTTTATCATTCAAATTATGAATGTGTAACAATGGAGGACGATACAATCTATCTAAACGTTGTATTCAATAAAACAATACAGTGTGATACAATAATACACAACGCAATACAATACAATACATTATGAAACAATACATAACAACCCTCCAAACCAAGTGTAAGGGTCATTTGGTTTTGGGATGGGGTGGGATGGGATATGCTGAAATATATCATGTGATTATTTTATTGCACCTTTTATTATCCCTCCATTTATACCAAAAACAACATAATAAAATAGTCTTAGAATTAAATAATTACTCATTTACCAAATACTCATTAATTTTTTTATGAAATATTTCGAGATTATTATTCTTATCCCACCAATCAAACCACCGCTTGGATTATATAAGTTAATTCTTTTTTTTTTTTTTTAATCTTTTAGTGTGCTGGAATATGCCTTGATAGATCATAGGATGAGTACTGCAACTCTACTTTGTTTGATTTAAAATAATTGTAAAGTTGTTGGATTTATGAACTACAAAAGTCAACACCTATGAGAAGAAGCTAGCAGTGCATGCCAAAGCTTTGTGGTTCCCATAGATCCAATTTAAGAATACTACTGCCCTATCAATAAAAAATATGGGCTTTGAGCCCATGTTTTTTCTACTTTATCAGGAAATAACCAAACAAGTGGCAAGTCCAATATGGTAACTACCACTTCCTTTCTTGTGTTTATATACTATTGGGCCATGCATTCTTTTCTATCTTTGATATAATGTCAAACATGGACGTCTTTTCTATCTCACCCTACACAAAGTAAGTGTACATTCGGTCTGATGGGTCTTGCTTTGATATCATGTAAAATTAAGTCTTAGGCCTAACTTACCGCCCAAAAGCTGAAAAGAGAAGGATTGCTCAGGCCTTATGAGAAGTTCACTTATCTCATTAACAATTAATGTGAGACGTTTGTCATTCTTCAACAATCAACATTACTACATTTTGTGCCTGCTGATTGTTTTACTAATTCATGAGTTACTTATTAAATAGCATGTTATTCCAATTCCTAAATTGTCAAATGATTTTATTCGTTCCTTGCTTTCTAATCAATGAGGGACAAAGGTTTTATACTGAATGAATTTTGTTCAAATTTCGTTTTCTCATTACTCCACTTTCCATTCATACCAACTTAAACCCAACAATAACAATGAAGAAGATTGCATTACATATACCAAGGCTAAAAATACATCAAAATTCACCAGAAGTAGATAAAGCATTTGAAGAAATCATGTCTTGGTTATAATTTAACAAACTCAAATTGATTAAATTATTCTGTATACTCTTTTGGCCATGTTGAGCTGCAGCTGTAGCTCATTTTTTTTAGTGTCCCCATCATGTTAAAATCTTAAATCCGTCTATCAGTACATCTAGTAAACAATAAAATCGAACACTTGCGACCAAATAGGGAAAATAAAGTAGCTAGAAAGGCAATTGTGCAAGTAACATAACTTAAATTGATGCTTGATGTTACATATACTTGTGTATATCATTCTTTCGTCTTGTTCTAAATTTTTTTAGAGGAATATGGAGGAAGAAATTAAAACTTCTATATCTCCAGTGATCTAATTTTTTTTATTAGTTACTATAAGAACAATTCAATGATTAAGAGGTCACAATTCAAATGGTAATTTAAATTTAATATTAGTAATCATATGGGTGTTGAATAACTTTTCTTATCCAGATAAATTATAGGATAAACTACTTTATTAGACATATATCACTATCATATATATTAATTTTACTTCTATTTTTAAACAATTACATATATTACCACTTTTAATATTTTATATCATATATTATTGAAGATACAATCAATACTCATATCCCTTAAAACTAGGATTGATTAATTATTTGTACATTTAAACTCTAAAATTAGTGTTTTAATTGAAAACAAATATCTTTCTCTCAGAGAGTATGAGTTAATTAGGGTAAAACTCAAACTCAAACTTTTTCTCTTCCACTTCCCTTGAAGAGTCAAAATTTACTGACAATAAACACTCCATTAAAAGGATGTTCTACAACTTGTCAACATACACATCAAATTTTTAACCTTTGATTTTCTCACTCTCAAACCAATTCCCCACGAATCCACCATTTTTTCTCGCAAGGGGAGACACCTCTTCGCCAATGGCGGAGCCAGAATTTCAACTAAGGAGTGTCAGAATATAAAGAAGTTAAATTGTGTAGAAGTCGAGGAGTGTCAATATGTAATATATATACATAAGAAAATATATTTTTAGCTAGCTATGCAGTATAATTTTCTGACGGAGGGGTGTATGTGGCTCCGCCACTGCCTCTCGCACGCAGAGACAATAGGTATCGTTATAAGCAGAGATTTCAAGCCCAATAGATTTATCATGGAGATTGCAATAAACTTTATTCAAAAAAAACTTATGTTATATGTATCATTAATATAAAGAATACTTTTGCAGTAGTAGGTCGAGCAAAGAATATATATAGAGAGAGAAATTAAGTTTTTGCAGTAGAAGGCCGGGAAAAGAATAATTTAAAAAAAAAATAAAGGTAACTGCAATCTCTATGACACATAATTGAAAGTTCAATAAGCAGATTTACGCATGTATATGATACATTATTGAGATACAATTATATGTATTTAGGGTGTGTTTGGTATGAAGGAAAATGTTTTCCTAGAAAATGTTTTCTTGGAAAACAAGTTGATTTTTGACTTATTTTTTCATGTTTGATTGGTGAGTAGAAAATATTTTCCGAAAAAGATTTTTAGTGTTTGATTTATGAATGAAAAATGTTTTTGAAAAATTTCTTTTATTTTTACTAGAGTAGAAAATAATTGTTGAAATTGAAA